CGATCTACTAAATAATTAATAATCCTATTATTTTTAATCCACTATCTACTGTAAATTATAATATAAATAATAGGTATCTTATTAATTAAAGAATTTAAATTTCATAGGAAGTTTATCTAAATAATTAATAATCTTATTCTTTTTTATCCACTATCTACTGTAAATTATAATAAAAATAATAGGAATCATATTAACTAAATAATGTAAATGCCATGCCATAAGAAGCTGATCTAAATATTTAATAATCGTATTATTTGAAATTTAAAAATGCTTAAAGTAATATAATGCCCTACCCAACTACGATATAATATTATAGTTGCCTACATTTTGTTTAGGCGAGTACAGTTGTTCTTGTTGTAAGAGACCCAAAATTTAATTTAAATACGAATACGAGTCAGTTTCACTGAATACTTGTCAACCGATTATTTGAATGAATATATTTTATTTACTGGTAATAAAAGAAGCAGAAGTTTTGGATTTCAAAATGCACAGATTTAGGTTCAACTTCGGAGTGATATCCTAACCACTTTGATTACAGTAGACGAAGTAGGCAGGTGCCTACTAACCATGTTGCATGACTGTAATAATAACTGTTGCAAGAAGTTTATGTGGTGGCAGGGGGGGGGAGAACTGGATTCGAAAAAAACCATCGTTCGTATAATATTTACCTATCGACTACCATCCACGTGTTCATTATTTGTTGCAATTGTGGTGTATTTATTAAGGGTGACTAGGGTGATATATTACCTCCCAGAGCTTTTTTTATTTCTTACGTTTTAATAATATATCTAATGAATAAAAATTTTGAGATACTATCTAATCCTCAGTAATTGGTGGTTATAAATTTAAGAAAGTAAAAAATAATGGACTTTGTAGATAGTCGTTATTTTTAGCATTATTATAGAGCTATAATATTAACAAACGTTTTTAAAAAAATTAACTGATAAAATATAATTATTGTTAAGAACGGGTCGCTTTGAAAGATTGAATTTCTATAGAATACAATAATAAATTATTGATGGCCAATATTCATGTACGTGGTGAACGGAGAATATGTTTTAAAAAATTTAACAATAAATACTGCAGCCGATGTTTTGAGGTATCGTCCAAAACGAGTGTTTCCGGTGCTTAAGTAGATACACGATGTATTGTATATTATTATAATAAACAGTTACCTAGGTAGTTAATGGGAGCGATAGTATTATAATTTTGTATGTAGGTTCGCGATTCGCTTCGTATTATGTAGAATGTAGATACGTGGTGCTGGGGGGAGGGGGTGCAAAGGGTTTATTCATATCGATTTCTACTCCGTCGTCCCAAAGCCCTTCGTAATAGAGGTACCTACGACATATTATTATTATTATCGTCTTTTAAAACACGTCTCAACGCCAATGCATTACATAGGTATAATGCATTACCAGCTACGGTTTAATCCGATTGATTCGCTATGGAGCAGCCGTGTTTTGCGGTGGTGCACAGGACGGGGTCAAAATTAATTTGCTATTGAATTGGTATCGATTTTATATAAATGGCGATTGTTCGCGAGGGCCCGGACTACTGCACAACTGTACTCTCCCCTGTGGTCGTGTCCGTGGCAGACGACGACGACACACCAAACACATATCGTATGGGTAGGTATATCGCATTTAACCGTATCGATTCAATCCGCTAATGCGATTGACCAGTTCCGAGAGCAGAGGAAAAGATATATAGCATTATAAGTATAGGTAGTTTTCCGGCACTATGTTATTGATGTAGGCGTCGCAAAGTTTAATGGATGGCATGCTTTTTTTTTTTTTTAATAAATATTATTAGCGCGCTGCTAAAATTTAGCATATTTAATATGCCTCTCAATATGTCTTATTTCTACCTCGCCCAAGGGGCCCGGGGCTCAAATTCAAACTAGCAATTCTAAATCGTACTCGTTAATAATAACGGCTGTACGGTTTTTTGTCGACCGCGTACCTATACCAACTACCTACCTATACGGGGAAAGTTCAACGGTTTGATCAAAAAAATTATAATATATAAATAATAACAATAATAGTCATATGCACACGAGCAATACGTTTAAGAGTATATCTTTATATATACGTTTTTAATAATAATAATGATAATAATAATAATAATAATATGATAATAGTAATAATATAATATATATATATATATTTAAAAATCGCAATTTTCACTACTATACGGTAAATCCATAATCTAGCTACAAAAACTATAATAAGCCAATAATAATATTTTTTTTTTTTTTTTGTCATTACATAATATGATGTAAGTACGATAACATATGTGACACAGCACTGTGGACTCTCTCCGGGCACGTCCAGATGTCGAATTCGAAAACGTTTCAACCATTCCTTTATAATATATAATATTTTATTCGGAAATAGGTATGACCAATATCGACGAGTGCCCAAGAGTCAACTGTGCACAATATATTACGCTCACACACACAACCGCGACAATGTCATATTATTGTAACAATAATATAACCACCACGATGAATGCAGTACGAATTAAATAAATCGTAAGGAATTATCGGAATAATATGATGCAAGTACGCATTGGAGTTTCGAGTCCGTCGCGAGGAGCCGTCACAACTCACGTGGGCACGCGGCGGTGGCGCGGGCGGACGGCTATGAGGAAATAATAATCGGAATGCCCATAACAATCGTGGCCATGATTACAATTATTATAATAATGATGATGATGATGATAAAAACTCACTCGCAAGCATCACACGAAAAAAAGCAAAATAAAAATCAACAAAAATAAAAATTTGAGTGGCGGGGCGTATCGTCGAGCGATATCCACCATTGCAGGGTCGACGTGCAATAATAACGGCGGGTAACAATAAAAATATATTATTCACCTTATAATCGTTTAATAGTCGTGTTGCGGCAGTGGAGGTAGTGTTTTGCGGCAGTGGTCAGTGAGGACACGCGCTTACCCATAATGATAATATTATTATTTTATATGGTGTACCGCGCGTGGTATTTAGGGTGCGCGTGAGACCAACGACAGTTTGTTCGACAACTTTCGTCGCGTCTGAAGTTACTGTACCTATGCATACCAAGTTGGTATTACCAACATACCAACCAACCTACCCCTATCAGCAGTGTATACATGACGTAGTGGTGATGTGTATGGCCGTCTCCCTGAGTGTAGGCCCAAGTCGCCCGACAATCATATGCCCGATAAGCCCAAACTCCCCGTGTACGACAACATTAGAAAATCGCCATTCATGGTTAGATCGTTCTAGACCATGGGCAGGGTCATTCCGTACTCATAGGGAACAGCTGAGTTAGAATCGCGATCGATGAGTGAGTACACGATAACTCCGAAAACGTTATTAAATTCTAACTGAGTATAATAATATGGTACCCCGCCCTGGGCCTCGTCGTCTGATTATGATGTTCGAAAATTATTCACAAATCTGAAAATAATTTGACCTATATCAATTATTCCATACCGGACAGGTGCAAGACAACTGTACACACGGACCAAATATGTGTTCAAATTATTTACATTTTATAACAATATTCCGGTTACGACGAACAGAATCAAAAATTTAGATTTTTGACGACAATGGAATACAGCGGATTTCTGTGCTACTAAAAGTCATCGTGAATATCAAGACACTTTTCACAGCAGCCTAATATCTATGGGTAACCGCGGTCTAATAATCTCGAATTTCTAATTCAAGTCTTTGTACTCAAGTCGTATGTACAATATTATAGTATATAGTACCATTCATAGGTGCCGACTAATTGGTGGGCTGCGGTACTCAAACACCCCATGACCCATTCCACGGGGTGAGGAAATGGGACAAAATGTAATAGATAATATTATACGTAAGCCCTACGTCAAATTTGGAAAGTCCAGCTCCCATGAATTCTATAATATTATATGAACAAGTTAATTAGATAAATTTAAACTTTAAAACAGATATCATAATTTCTATACCGGAAGGGTGCAAAATAGATGTATATACAGGCAAGTGTTTAAATTATTTACATTTTATAAACAATATTCTGGCTTCGATGAACAGCAGAAAAAACTTAGATTTTGACGTGGATACAGCGGATTTTCATGCTGCTATAATTGATGGTGAATATTACACTCATAACAGTAGTCTAGCTAGGTAACCGTGGTCTAATATTCTCGAATTTCTAACTTAAGTCATTGAAACGTGTATGTACAATTATTAAAGTAATATATACATTTTATCATGGGCGCCGACTATTGTGGTGATGCTGTGCTCAAGCACACCATGACCCATTACATGGGGTGTGGAAATTAATGAAACAAAACGTGATATTATACGTAAGCACTCCATGAAATTTGAAATATTATATGAATTAATTAAAATACAATTATTTACATTTCAAAACAGCTAACATAATATTTACATTTTGGATTTTAATGAATATTCTAAATCTATAAGCAATAAAATCAATAAGTTTTCAACTGACACAATTTGAATGCCAGTGTCGAAATTGTATTGAAGATGTTATCTTTGCTCTTTGCAAATTATCACCATCAACTGATGATGATAATACATTTTGAAATTAAAAACGACAGAAGAAAACAACTGAAATTAAATTCTGACCAATTATTCTTGTAGGTTTTTCACCTTGAAAATGTGTATATACATATATTATAGTATCTTAAATCTATTAAAATCATTGTCTAATGTTTAAAAGCCAACCCAGCCCGGGTGGTAAAATACGAATAGAATTTATTTACACTGTACTCACTTTAAAAGTAGTATAATAATCAAGCTATAGACTGTATCCTAATAGTCTATAATCTATATTGTTAAAGTTAATCTATTTAGGTACCTAATCGATATTGGTTAATATAACATCGTAGCCGCATGTGTTGTCTCCGTTTTACTAACGAGGGGTAAATGGTAGAAACCTCCACGCGGTGTCCCTGGAACGACGAGATTGCATTTTTATAAGATATACCTGATATATACGACAATAATGCAACGCTCGTCAACCAATCCTACCAACCACGGTCTTCAACCCAAAAGGCCCTTTTCAGGGCCAACCATGACGATGATATCCATAAATATCGAAGGTCTTACACCAGAGAAAGAAAATATTTTAGCGGAGTTATGTAAAACATCGGGATGTGAGGTGCTGTGCTTACAAGAGACGCACCGAGATACAAACCACAGAAGACCAAAAATAAGCGGGATGAGACTAGTGGTAGAAAGGCCACACAGTAAATACGGAAGTGCTATATTTACTAAACCTGATTTGGATATAATATCGACAGGGATCACAGACAAAAACAATATAGAAATTATGACAATAGACATAAAACAATGCACCATAACATCAATATATAAGCCCCCTAATGTATCATTTGAATTTGAAGAACCTGAGAACTACAGGGAAAGAAATATAAAAATTGTAATAGGAGATTTTAATAGCCATAATGTGATGTGGGGATACACAGAGAACAATGAAGATGGGGAAAAGGTCGAAGATTGGGCAGAAAGGGACAATATGAGTTTAATACATGATGCTAAACTCCCACCATCATTTAACAGCGGTAGATGGCGGAAAGGATATAACCCCGACAACATCTTCGTGAGCCATAATATAAGAAATATGAGCATTAAATCAATAATGAAAGCTATCCCAAAAACTCAACATCGACCGATCCAATGCCAGATAAATGCAGCCATAACACCGCGAATGGTACCTTTTAGGAGACGATTCAACTTTAAAAAGGCTAAATGGGCAGAAGTCACGAAATATATGGATAATGAAATACAAACTCTACAACCAACACCTGCTAATTACTGCAAATTTGTTGATAGATTAAAGAAGGTCTCAAGAAAATATATACCAAGGGGTTGCCACATCAATTACATCAAGGGACTACGACAAGACACCATAAAGGACTTAGAAACCTACTACGAAAGGTATGAAGAAGATCCCTTTTCGGAACTAACAATTGAAACTGGAGAACGTATTTTGAAGGATATAGCCGAAGAACGTAAAAAAGAATGGATGACATTAATTAAGGATCTAGATATGGTCAAAAACAGCAACAAAGCCTGGAAACTAATAAAAAGCATGAACAATGAAAAACAACAACCGAAAGAGCATATAAACATAACACCAGACCAAATTGCACACAAATTATTAATGAATGGGAAAACGAAGACAAAAGGGAAGAAAACTAAGCTTAAATTTAAAATGGATATAAAGAATAATACAAGTGACTTCAATAAACCATTCGAGATGGATGAGCTAAATATGGCCATCGGAGTAATGAAAAATAGGAAAGCAGCGGGCATCGACGGAATCATGACAGAACAGATCAAGCAACTAGGCCCCAAAGCCAAGGAATGGCTACTAAACATGTTCAATAACTGTATCAAAACCGATAGTATCCCAACAGAATGGCTCAAATCACATGTTGTGGCATTATTGAAGCCTGGAAAAGCCCCTACAGATGCAAGTAACTTTAGACCCGTGTCACTATTATGTCATACATATAAAATGTTTGAGAGAATGGTACTGAATAGAATAAAAGACAAGATAGACGGGAAACTAATCAAGCAACAAGCTGGCTTTAGGGCTGGTAAGTCATGCACGGGGCAAATACTTAACCTTGTTGAAGAAATAGAGAAAGGCTATGAGAATAATGTAATAACAGGTGCAGCTTTTATCGACCTCAGCGCTGCATATGATACGGTTAATCATAGATTACTGCTTAAGAAAATATATGAGCTAACTGAAGATGCGAAATTCACAAAAATTATTAGTCTTTTATTAAGGAATAGACGGTTTTTTGTATCATTGCAGGCCAAAAAGAGCAGATGGAGAAGACAAAATAATGGATTACCCCAAGGAAGTGTTCTATCACCAATTTTATTTAATATTTATACTAATGATCAACCAATTGGGACCCAAACGAAGCACTTTATATACGCTGATGACCTCGCTATTACAACCCAGGGCAAAACATTCGAAGAGGTGGAAGTGAATCTGAATGACACACTTAATACTATGAAGGAATATTATAATGATAATTACCTCAAACCGAATCCAGCAAAAACACAAATTACCGCTTTCCACTTACGAAACAGAGACGCCAAGCGGAAACTGAGAATTAATTGGCAAGACACAGAATTAGAGCATTGCGAAGAACCAACCTACTTAGGCATTAAACTTGACCGAGCCCTGACATATAGAAGTCATTGTGAAAACACAAAAAATAAAATAGGAACAAGAAACTGCTTGCTTCAAAAACTGGTTGGCTCTCAATGGGGCGCAGACCCTCATGTCTTGAGAACGACAGCCTTATCACTATGTTACTCGACGGGTGAATATGCTTGTGCTGCATGGAGAAACTCAGCACATGCTAAAAAGGTAGACGTGGCCCTAAATGTAACTAACAGATTAATTACGGGGTGCCTGAGACCAACACCAGTTCAGAAAGTACAAGTATTATGCGGTATAGCACCCCCTAATATAAGGCGAGAGGTGGCAGCAAGGGTAGAGAAAACAAAACAAGAATCAGACTTAAGACATCCTCTATATGGAGGTAAAATCATGGGGAGCCGGCTCAAATCAAGGAAAAATTTTTTGAAGACAACAATTAGCCTATCACAAACACCTGAAGCAACGAGAATAGACTTATGGAAGGAGGCAATGAAAGAGCATAACTCACTGCTATGGAAGGATCCGAAGGAAAGCTTACCGACCGGAAGTCACTTACCATGGTCGGTATGGAAGACACTGAATAGATTACGAACGGAAACTGGAAGGACAGCGAGTAATATGAAAAAATGGGGATTGAAAGATGATGGGAAATGCGAATGTGGTGGAGAGCAGGATGCGGACCATCTGTTTGTATGCCCACAATTACCGAATAAGTGTAGAAAGGAAGATTTTTTGACGCATAAAATTTCAGACAAAGCAATACAAATTGCGGCTTACTGGGGAGCGAAGGGAATATGAAGACCGATACGACAAGAAGAAGAAGACTAACGAATAAAATAACAAATTTTACGTTCAGAAGACGTACTCTGTTATTTTAATTATTATAATTAATTGATTATATTTTAAAATTTAAAGGAAATAATAGGTATTACCAGGACCCTCACCAAGGGTTTCTGTCATATTTTAATTTTGAAACAAGTACAATAGGCATTTTAAAATTTAAAATTTTTATAAGCTTTAACATGCTCATAACCTAAATTTTAATATTATTATATCAAACAAATCCTAAGTTAAGCCCTGAATAATATGCTTACCCTTAAATATGGCAATAGGAAAATTCACTTTAATATAAAAAATAACCTAGTAAATTAATGGAATCCTCTGTTACACGTCAGTAAAACGGGGTACGATGTTATTCTAAAGCTGGTATACGTTATTGAATATTGATGCGATATTTTAATACTGATAATAAATATACAAATTATATTTTCCTACTGATAATAAATATACAAATTATATTTTCCTACTGATAATAAATATACAAATTATATTTTACAATTTTTAGTAATCACCAAATTAAAAATACCCCCATCAGGGAAGTTTATCCTATGTGTGGTAAAATAGAACGTTCCTACGACTATTTCTTAAGTACGATCGAAACCACATCATTTGCTGTATAAAAGGAATTGATGGCAACAACCTACGCATTCTTCCGTCACCTACATCATCTCCATCTCCGTTTCCGTAGTTACCTTCATTATAATAGCCATCTGCATAGTTGTAGAAACCTTCATAATCGTAGTTATATTCATAATCGTCAGTGCCTTGACCACTGTCACGGCCACTGTTACTAATTTCACGGATGACCACACCTCTAACGTGGTAGTCAGCTGGATCGCGGACCACTCTATTGCTAACATAGATGCCACCAACACCACGTATGTCATTATTAATGTGGCCACCACCATTGCCACGAATACTACTTCTACCGTGGACAACACTAGCATCACGAATGCCGTTACTTACGTAGTCATCATTACTACTACAACATACGCCACCATTTTCATAACCACCAACTCTATGGACTCTGGCAATATCAGAATGGTCGTCAAAGTTACTACGGATGCTACCACTACTGTAGCCACCAATATTACCGTCATTTCCTTGAGTACTAACTTGTAAGTTAATTGTATTTTCAAATTCTCTGGTATCTCTGTCAACAAAGGCACTTGTAGTAACTTGATTATAATCCCTTGAATCGAAGTAACTATCACAGCTACTGTGCCTGTTACTTCTAATGTGATTGTGATCTCTATTGGGCCCACTACTCCTTTCAGGGGGGTCATCACTGCTACTCACATCAAAATTGAATCTTACTCTTAAACCACTTCTACTCCTACCAGGGCGGGTAATACTACTATTCCCACTAGCACTGTTACCACTAGCGCTATTACCACTAGCGCTATTACCACTTGCGCTATTACCACTAGCGCTATTACCATTAGCGCTATTACCACTAGCGCTATTACCACTTGCGCTATTACCACTAGCGCTATTACCACTAGCGATATTACCACTTGCGCTATTACCACTAGCGCTATTACCATTAGCGCTATTACCACTAGAATGGCTGTTGCTGCTATTCAAAGGAATCGTGCTAGACGTAGCTCGGCCATCCGCACTTCTGCTACTAGAGCGACCTTCTCCCCTACCCCTACTAGATCCACGTCTCTCATTACACCTACTAGGGTGACCACCACCGCTAATCATATTAGCATGCTGATCAACACTAAGCATACTATCGAGACCATCACCGCTAACTCTACTACCGTAGTTGTCAGTGCTATTACTTCTGGACCGGCCAACACCCCTGCCCCTACTAGAGTGGATATAACCACTTATCCTACTGACGCGGCCATCACCACTACCTCCAATTTCACTAAAATTAAAACTATCCATAGTAGCATGACCATCACCACTACCCCTACCGTTGCCACTAGTACTGCTGCTATTTGTACGGCAATCACTATTACTTCTCATAACTTGACGACCATGACTATCAATAATTTCACTATTATCGTGGATCATATCATCGTTCCTATTGCAAATAAAACAACAACAACCAATCAAGGAGCTACTACGGCTACCATGACTGTTGTCACTCGCACCACTACCAACACTACCAACACTAACGCCATTAATGCTTTGGTCATCACCATTATCAGGACTATTACTCCTACTCCTACGCCAAATATTTGTTGTACTCACTTTAGGTTTGGTCTCTTTGCGTGCGGTATTTGGGTTCACGTACAAGGACTCCGTACGCTTGGGTTGCCCGATAGGTGACGGAACGATCTCCTGCCCGAGGTTCCGTTGCCTAAGTATGATATCCTCAAACGGCGGTGGTTGACGCTGCGCGGCGGCCGATGACGAGATATTTTGCTTGGCCCCGGCCGCCGACGATGTTTTGAAGCCATTACCACCGCTGAATGATTTATCAGCTGCGGAAGACGATGAGGAAGGAAGTCGATCATCTCCTCCTCTTCTCTGTTGCTGCTGGTTCTGTGACTTTTCCACTGATGACTGTCTCGACCCTCCACTGAGCCGACTGGCTGCCCGGCTGTACCGGTCCACACTATTATCCCGGCTCGGTGGCCTCTTGTAATGATCAAAATGATCACTCATGGCCTGCCAAAATACAATTATCGTCACAAAAATTGATTGATTATTAATATTATTTATTTTTTCGTACAACAATAATAATATAAGAGGTATTGGGGTGTTGCTGAAAAATAATTTTGTAAAAATATGGTAGGTTATATTACATATTGTTGTGTGAGCAGTATAAATGTATAATATTATGTTATAAGTCAAATATTAATGTTATATAATCATTATAATTTTGCCACACAACTTATGCATGGTAAATTTGAGTGGGTAGGTAGTCTGCTACATTGTTGCAACGAATCGTCGGATTCCGTTGATGACTGAAAACTTAACGTGGTGCTTGAGATACTGAAAATTTGTTTTAAACTGTTTTCATTCCTACCATAAAATGATAAAATGTAAATTGGATAACACCGCCGACGGTAATATGCGCAACTTGTAAAATATTAAGTGTCAGTGAATAAAAACCAATTATATTTACGGGCTAGTCAGCATATTCTAAAGTTTAGTTTTTTCTATGGACTTGGGTAATATTTTTATTTTATTTTAATTAATACATTAATATCATCTCCTCCAAAGTTATTGTCATAATAGTTTTATTTTCAAACTCAACTTCACATTATGACACTGAGTTATTTCGATATTAATATTGTTCAAATCTGAGTAATGGATGTACAGGTCTCCAAACAGGATCAGCAGCGACTGCACAACTTGAACTTTGATAGTGATGCGACTATACATAATTCCGAGTTGTCTTCAATTTGACTCTGATACCCGTATATAATATGCAAAGGAGTAATGAGTATTATATCAATTTATTACGAAATAAAATTGGTGTAATGGATGGATGATAATAAATCAGACAAAATATAAAATATTGCTACGAAGTCGAAATGTTTATAAAATGTGTAACGATCGTTAAGATTTTGGTCTCAAATAATTCATCCAACCACAATAAATTACTAAACACCGCAGACTAAAAATTGAACAGTGCATTATTGCATGTAGGTATAAGCAGATTATTAACGATATCAATACCTACACAATTAAAAAAAAAATTAAATAATCTTAAAAAAATCTGGAATGTTATGACAAATCAGATGAAACAATGATTTTTTTCGTTTGTTTTTTGATTTCTGATTATCACATATTGTTATCATCATAATAAACATTGTCTAATTAAATGATTTTTGATAAACCAGCGGATATTTATCATTTGAAAGTAACTGGATTATATAAAAAAAATGTTTTATATTTTATGATTTTGATCATGTCATAGAAATTATGAATAAAAAAACGAATTGAATTACCTAATCTTTTTTAGTTCATTGTTATTCAAGAAATATATCTATCCAATTAGATATTATGTTAATTTAGCTGCATACAATATTAAAATTTAAAACTATTTATTGTTATTGATCACTATATTTTGTCACGCTAGGTAAAAATAATCAATTTTAGGTTCACATTAATTTTCAGTTAGCTTAATAGCTTAATATTATTATTGTAGGTTATATGTTATCTATGTATTGTGACTGTGAAGTGTGAACCTACCTGGGTATAATATTAGTAAAGCAAATAATTAAATTCAGTTGAAAAACAGAGTAAATATTTTATAGAAGCAGCTGTGCGTTTACCATTTCCAGTTACCACTGAGGGAGAAAAATAGTTATTCAAAACAACTATAATATTATGCAAATTTCAATTAATTTAACAGTACGAATTCCAACAAAAAACTAATAATAGTAGGTACCTACTTCTGGTTTATTTTTTTAATTCAAAATTAAGATGACGAAAATAATTTGTGGAAACAATGTTCGTAAGTCTTTCTGGCGAATATTGTTGACTAAACCTGGGGAAAAGTTATTCACTTTTGGAACAGTACACTGAACAATGAAACCTCATAAATTTGAGTTCAAATTACGCTCGCTTTGATGATTTTAAGGGTTTCCATAGAATTTGCAAAGTGTATTATGTGCATTACCACAATCTGCTGTCGGAGTGTCATAACGAGAACATTGTTTATGCCCACTTTGGTAACCAGCTTAACTAATGACAAAAGTCACACGAGTACTGCAAATGCGTCCGAAATAGGTACGTAGGTAGTACCTTAATACCCTTCCAGATATAAATATAATTGTATTATAGACGACGTAAATTCGTGACCGTCTTCGTAAGTATCTTACCACGGTGCATATAAAATATTGTTTTTACCTAATAAACAACAGAAACGGTTTTCATGTCTTTCACTGTATCATTTTGTGGAACTTTAAAATACTTATTTGTTTTCTTTGTTGAAGTATTTGAATTTTCGGTCAAGTATAATAACTCACAGTAATAAATATCATCAAATATCATCGGTGCAGCCCTTTAGAAGGAGACACACGAACAGAAGAAATATATATATTAAGATTATAGACCTCAAATTCTGAAAGTATATATATACTTATTTTAATAATTCTTATTATACATATGCTATTCGAAATAATTTTTGGAGATCAAACATAATATTATTTGCGATATATAATATTTTATAAATTATTGTAAATATCAAATTATTTTGTTTTTATGATAAGAAAATTATAACGTTTTATTATAAATTCGACGTACCTAGGTAGTAATATTTTATTTTGGAATGGTGGACGTGTATTATTATTTGTATGCAATTACACTTTTAACGAATAACATGAAAAATGCACCAATAGTTATAGATAAATTGTTATCAATATTATTTGAACAAAACACATTATTAATTCCAATGTATGGGTCTTTACCATTGTTAAAAGGAGGGCTTGAAACCGTTTAAAAAAACAGTAATCTAAAATAAAATCAAAAACCGATACAGAACAAATGTGGACACTGGTATTATAATCAAAAACTGAAACCGAAAAAATTTGGAAACCGGTATTAACTTCGAATCTGAACCGGAAAATTAGATAAACTGGTATTATTAATTTAAAACCGAAACCAAAAATATAATTTAAAAAATGGTATATTTTTTTTGTATCTTGAACCTGTTAGAAAGTTTAGGTACTTTATACAAAAGGCTAGGTATTCAAATGAGCGAACAGGTAATTCAAATAAATGAACGTAAATAGTCCAGGCCTTGAAACCTTTTTTAGAAACCGGTTTAAACAATTTAAAAACTGAAACCTAAAACAAAATCAAAATCGAAGCCAGAATAAATTGGAAACCAGTATTATAATTTAAAACTGAAACCTAAAAAAATTGGATACCGGTATACAAAATCGAAACCAAAACAGAAATTTCCTAATAATTGTATTGAAAAATTGAAACCAAAATGGAAAAAATTTAAAACCAGCATTCAAAATCGAAACCGAAACCGAAATCGGTTTCAAGCCCTGGTTAAAAGTTCTAACATATTATAATATCGAACCGTGAGTTTTAAATTCAAACATTTTTTCCAGTAGAATATATTATAATAATATATTGTATTGTTTAATTTTAAGAGGGCTGTTCTAAATTGGTTTAATTTCATAAAATAACATAAAAAAATTCACACCAACACAAGCCCTTACTGAATAAATAATTTTAAACTTTTATCTCAAGTAAATATTTCTCATATCTATAGTAATTAGGTACTTGTAACTGTATAAGTTATAACTTATACGTGTATAACAGTTGTTGTAACTATTTACCAGTACTTGCAGATCTTACAGATGTAAGATGGGTGAATTGGTATAACACGTACACCTCACCCGGTGGTGTTATACTTTGGAAAATTCAGTCACTGTTTATTAGACAATATTGTGGTGATTGCAGGCGTCATTAAGATTAATAATTGTATTAATTAGAAGTTACAACTAACAATATTATTACCTATTACACCATTTATAATTGGTTCTCCGCACGACTCAATTATTATGGGAGTGTAATACATTATGTAGGAATACAAAGAAACTATAAACAAAACAATTTTTTTAGAGAATAACTCATATACACGGGTGGCTCTAGAGCCATAGTGGGGGGTTGGGGGTATTATAAATATAATATTTTAAGAAATACTAAGCGATTGCTAGCTCTGGTTGGCAAGTCACGCTCTTTGTATTCTCGTTTAGGACGACTCGAGCACTTAAACGGTCCTGAAATTGTGTTCCGTCATAAATCTATCAAGAAATTCGCATCACCATAGCAAAAATTTACAATTACATGATCCAGGACCTACGAGACGTCAACGAACAAGTGGTTATCGTAAGTATTATGATTGCAAAACCTTTTCGTCAGTCTTATCGTTTTGCGGGCAATAACGTATTTCGGTACATACAACGCGCTCTAGTGGTCAAGTTTGATAAATCGGTGTAAAATCGGAGTTCTGCTAAAACAAGTAATATCGGATGTAGATGCGAAAATAGTATTCGAGACTTAACATTATCGTTTATTTAAATTAGGGAAAACGAAAATCAAATGAAAACGACTTATAGAGTTAACACGTACCTACAACACTCGTTGTAAAATAGTTATTTCATTGATTGTATTTGTAAATTTTTCTTATGTATATAAATTATGAATACTTTTTCCTGATGGTAGGTACCTACTTCAAATCTCCATCAAAATAATATTGAATGATAGCATCTCTATTTTTAATAAATAGTACCTATTGTCTTTTTACTATATTGTTCAAAGCTGGGCATTGACTAATGACATACCATGAGGTAGATAGGTACATTTACCAGAAGTAGGTACCTAGTTAACTACCAGTGCCACAGTGGTACAGTCCACATAAACCTTTGATAATTATTTTTGGTTCAAAGTTTAAAGAAATAAAATATATTTTATACTTAGCTAGATTAGACATTTTCCGATTACAAAATCTAAAATCGTATTCATTAAATAAGAACAAAATAATATTTCTTTATAAAAATGGACACTATAAAAATTTATATTTAGTTATTGTATATTTTGTAAACATAGTTTCTCAAGTAAATAAATACTTTTTCCTGATATACCTACCAGCTACCTACCCACTTATAAATACAACTCAAAAATAATTTTTAATGATC